GCGATTTCAGGTGAGATTTCTTAACACTTTATTGCGACTTGTGAACATTTGCAAAGATTTCTTGCAATTTGCTTTATATTCCATGTACGTGAAATCGCAATAAACTGCAGAAAAAGTAATGCAAGTACTACTTTAGAAATCGCACTGCAGCAAATCGCACATTAAGACACTGACACTCACATTCATTAGATGCAATCTGCGAGCGGAAATCGCATCTAATGAATGTGAGTTCTATCGGCATGTCATCCGACTTTGAAATCGTGTGTCTTCACTGTAAGTTGCACACGATTTCAAAATAGGGTTTGATGTGACCGGGGTGTTAAGCCAACAGTTTCAGCTGAAATCGGCTGTGGCCAATCACACACACAGTTCTGCGATACAAAAACACACAGAACTTGCTGTACATAGGACAGTGATCTGGCAGTTTCTTCTCCCTGAAAAGCAAGTAGAAGAAACAGCCAGATAAGTCAGTAAAAGCAGCACACTTTACACTTGTAAGACACACAGTTAACCCCCTTGATTGCTACTAGATGTTAACCTCTTCTCAGCCAATGTCATTAGTACAGTATTATCACTGTATTAGTGTCACCAATGACATCAGTGTCAGTGACCCTCCAGCTAGTCTGTTAGTGCCAGATTATCCACCACACTATCACAGTCCCACTATAAGTCAATGAATACTGCCAATACAGTATAGGATATAGTTGTACGCACATCAGCATGTGGGTGGGGGGGGGGGGGGGGGGACACAACGAAGGGGAGCTTTAGATTGCTAACAAGACCAGCATAGGTTTTAAATGTTGGCTATCTGGGAAACATTTTATGGTATGCATTTAAATGTCATTCCCCTAAAAAGGTATGATCTACTCAAAGTAAAACATAAAAGTTGTCACAAGCACCCTTACATTTGAATGTCCATGCCTAGCACAGATATATACAAAAGTTGTCCTGGCTAGCTATAAATGTAAGACCCCATGTCATTATTATTCTCATATTGCTTCTTAATGCCATAGTCTATGGACCATGCATGTAACTTGCACAGGCCATTGGGGGGGGGGGGGGGGGGGGGGGGACAAAGTCCAAGCATTGTTTTGCTTGTGGTAACACGGATTTCGCAAAACATTCCATAATATTATTTAAAGAGTAGGGATAAACTTTTTCTTCAGAGTTTTTGAAATAAATCCAGCAGGCCTACTTAGTACAACGGGACTGCAATACACAGCTGTGACTTCATACCCTTCAACAGGGCCTCCCAACAGTTGTAGACAGATTTTATTGTGTGCCGAGCTTCCCTGAAATGTTTATATTATGTCTAGTTGTGTAAATTGGAGAAAATCCCAGAACAACCAAACTGTGTGCGGACTACGTTTACCACACCTATACATTGTGGCAAACATGCAATTTGCCCTGTTTGGCAGATTTCATTTAATTTCATTCCCCACCTCCACTCCCCAAAAAAAAAAAAAAAAAAAAAAAAAAAAAAAAAAGGAAGGAGCACACAACCAAAACAACTGAACACATTTTACATTTTCTAATTAGTAATTTTAAGAGATAGTAGAGCTTGTAAACCTAAAATTTAACAAAAACACATCATGGAGAGAACCAAGACTGCTGTTGACCTCTTTTTCGGAAGATACTAGTTGACTGGCTATTATGTTAACTTGCTCACTTTTCAGTGACCTTGAAAGTACAGTAGATTAGGGCAAAAAAATGTCTGCACATCTCCGTAATGCATGCAGAGTCTTTCAAAGGAGGAAAATAAATATGTCAGTATAAAAATACCTGTTCTTGAGTGATATCCTGCAAGATCCAAATCTCCAGTTGTGAGACAATAAAGCACCTTTTCTGAACTTAAAATCGCATGGAAAATTGTGTCATCCCTGCCCAGTAACCTTTATTAAACAGAATTCTTCTTCTTCCTTTCCCTCAATGAGATAACCAGCAAAATATACATGACATAGCATAGCTCTGAATTTCTGGAAGGATCAACAGGTATTTTCTGCTGCACTTTCTAAATCGATAAAAACAAGTCACTTTCAGTGGTACATTTAAAACAGACATAAAAGGGAGCAAACAACTTTCATTATTAGAGTAAAAGTTGGTGTATGTATCCCACCTCATCTTCCCTACATACTTGTTCTGGGTCAGTGAATCCGTTTCAGAGGATCCAAGTACAGGCCAGCAGCTAGCATTTTCAGAAGGTGGTCTGCAGTGGCAGACTGTTTCTCAATACAGATTTATGAGACAAAGAAAAAATACTGGAACACCTGGCAATGGTCTAAAGCTTGGCACCAAGTTAAAATCTTTTTGCAGGCTGTGTTACCAGTGAGAAGATTTCACTTCACTTGGCAACAGGACGTGAGAAGAAAGCTCTCCACCATGACACTGAGGGGTTTATTTACTAAAGCTGGAGTGTGCAAAATCAGACTCACTTCTGCATAGAAACCAATCAGCTTCCAGGTTTCATTGCCAAAGCTTCATTGAACAAGCTGAGGTTAGAAGCTGATTGGTTTCTATGCAGAAGGGAGTCTGATTTTGGACTCTCCAGCTTTAGTAAATAAACCCCTGAGTGTCTTCCTACAACAGGTTTCTCTATTGCAAGATTCCTCCACCACACCAATGGACTATACACCAAAACCCTTGTAAGCTGCTATGCTACAAGTACTATATCCTGTGAATCGCTCACACCATACACACTCATATAATTGTGGTTTTATACTAATAACCATAAAGTGCCGCGCTTCATAGTGTTCTAACCCCATCATTTGCAATACATAAAGTCATCAGTCCAATCCCAATCATATATGTGCCCTATCCACAGCGCACTTAAACACCGTCCAGTGTTCTTCTTATATGACTGACTATCTTCTCCAATTCCATTATCTCATTCCACCACTTCGTTCCAATATAATTATGTAGCAACATAAAACGCCTTCCACCAGATGTGCTCTCACCTGGGATATATGACTATACAATTAATGTCATACAGCGCTTGCGTTCCCCACATAGGTTTCAACCGATGCTCCTTATTTGTACTCCTTAATGGGTATAAACTTCACTCAGTAATTTGACTCGTATAGGAAAAGAAACCACAAAAACCTAGTGCTTATCCTTTTAAACCCTGTTCCAGTGGTAACTGATAAATTTTGGATTTTTCATCCCTTTCCAAATCTCCTTTGATAGGATACATCAGTTAAAAAGTGACGTTAAAGTACGCAACCAGTGGTACAATGTAAGACGTGGTCATCCACCTGAGACTTAGCTGAAACTTTTAAACCTGGTGTTAAAATTGAAGCGCTGTTAGGTGAATACACTGCTAAAAGACATTTTTTTACAGCAACTGTCAGATACAAGGTGACCCTATTTTTACCTGTCCATGACACTGGACTATAAAAATTCCAGGTTTCACCTGTTAAAGTAGGCATACCCCCCAAGGGATTTTCAGGGACTGGGTTCCAAAGTTATGGACTGTGGTCCAGGACCTGTATAGTACCCTGCAGCCTAACTTAGCACACCGCACTGAGTGCCAAGGTAAGCACCAATGATGTAGGACTCCATGCTAGAACCAACATTAAAAGCGGTTAACACAGTATGGGGTACGCTTCCAAGGTTTTACCAAGTTTGTGCTGGACTACATGCACTGCCTCTATCCCGACATTTGATAAACAGCCATGCTAAAAGAAGCTGAAGATTAAAGAAAAAAAAAAAAAAAAAAAAAAAAAAAAAAAAAGCAAAAAAGCTAGTTAAGCGAGTTTCTCCATGAAGAAGAAAATGTCAACTACCTTCAGACACCGAAAACTGAGGACTCACAAAGTGGGGTAGGGTTGTTAGGGGGGGGGGGGGTGCCAAGGGGGCATGTCCTCAAACATTCTAAGTGTCCAATCACTTGAAGGTACAAGCATATAGCCCATGCTGTACGAATATTTTTGTCCTGTGCTATACAATTAAGATAGCTAGAAAACAGTTTTAGAATTACTCACGTAGGACTTAAAAAATGCCCCATTTACAGCAACCATTTCACAATGTTCTAATAGCTTTATTCTCAGATTTAATGCATGTATAGGCAAAACCGATATCTATATTGCTGTACAGAGAAAAAAAAATACCCCTTTTAGGCAGTATTCAACATAATTGCCCACAATTTTCCTATAAATTGGCGATACAACACGTTGGCACAGGACACAAAATATCCCGTGATCTCTAACCACGGTTGGTGTTGTGAGCAGGATGAAGGCGCTTTGCTCCATATATGATGGACCTTTTCCATCTATGATTTTAGGAGGTAGTAAACAGTAGTAGAGGTCTTCACTCTCCACGTAATTTCTAGTTGAAAACCTCCATCTCTCGCCAATTCGACTATCGCAAATCTTTGGCTATGTACATGATCAATCCAGCTACGATGTGCATCCCAGTGCACTGGCACTCTAAAGTGACCCCTTCCATTAACCATTTGTCCTGAGGATTTACTGACCAGGTCCTTTATTTTGGTATTCAGCACAGCACTATTTCAACTGGTAATTGCAATGCTATACCCAAACAAAATTTACCGTATTTTTCGCTCCATAAGACGCACTTTTTTCCCCCCAAAAAAGGGGGGGAAATGTCAGTGCGTCTTATGGAGCGAATATAAAGCGGCCGGTCCGGTATTTCTGCCGCCACCATGTCAGAATACCGGGCCGGCCGCTCAGCTGTTCTCTCCTGCAGGGCCTTACCTGTTCCTCGCTCCAGCGCTGCACAGTCTTCCCGCGCTGGCTTCTGTGACAGCCGGGTGCCCACTGCGCATGTGCTGCGCTTTGTGAATGATCTGGTGTCTTCTGGGACACATGACAGGTCCCAGAAGGCGCTGGGCTATTCACAAAGCGCAGCGTTTCTCGCGCATGCGCAGTGGGCACCCGGCTGTCACAGAAGCCGGCCCGGGAAGAAGAGAGAAGGACAACTCCGCAGAAGTGGGAGCGGGTACCTGTCAAATTCAGGTACCCGCTCCCCCTCCCTCTCCAAAGGTCAGCAGTCTCTGGTTATCTCCTGCACTGTGTCCGCAGTCTCTGGTCATCCCCTGTACTGTGTCTGCAGTCCATTGGTTCAGAATATTTTTTTTTCGCCTCTAAAACCTAGGTGCGTCTTATGGAGCGAAAAATACGGTATATCCTTTTTTTCCCCCCCACACAAATAGAGCTTTCTTTCAGTGGCATTTGATCACCTGTACGCTTTTTATTTTTTGCGCTATAAAACAAAACAAAAAAAAAAAAAAAAACCCAAAAAATTTTGGGGAAAAAAAAAAATAGATTAGGCCAAAATGTATTCTATGTTTTTGGTAAAAAAAAATTAAATACCAATATGTGTATATTGATTGCTTTGTGTGAAAGATATACTATGGTATAGATCAGGGGTCCTCAGAATTTTTAAACAGGGGGCCAGTTCACTGTCCCTCAGACCGTTGGAGGGCTGGACTATAGTTAAAAAAAAACACAAAAAAAAAAAAAAAAAAAACTATGAACAAATGCGGACACAGTACAGGAGATGACCAGAGACTGCAGACATACAACGGGCGGCGGGAATACTGGGCCGGCCGCTCCATAAAACGCACAGACCTTCCCCCCCCCCCCCCCCCCCCCAAGTGTGTCTTATGGAGCAAAATCGTGTCAGTGGGCGGGTAGAATAGTGCCCCATCATTGGTGTCAGTGGGGGGGTGGAATAGTGCCCCATCATTGGTGTCAGTGGGGGGGTGGAATAACGCCCCATGATTGGTGTGAGTGGGAGGAATAAGGCCCCATCATTAGGATCAGTGACACCAATGACGGGGCACTATTCCTCCCACTGACACCAATGACACTCAACTTGCTGACCCCTGCTCCAGCATGGTGCTGCTGCAGCCAGCATACCTGGTTGAAGCAGCACCATCAGCATGGCACACTTACCTTCAGCTGTCCTTCACTCCGGCCTCTCCCTCACTCGATGTTCGCGGGGGCTGCTCGGCTCCGCCTCCTCGCAGGTGATTGGCCGCCTCTGTGCCTTTCCTGAGCTACAGTGCTGGCACATAATCACCGGTGAGGAGGCGGAGCCGAGCGGCAGGAGTGAGGGAGTGGCCGGAGTGAAGGAGCAGCGCTTCCTGGACTGGATCGTGGGACTGGGACCGGAGCCAGGTAAGGTATAGCAGCCCCCTGCCCACCCCTGTAGTTAGTGTCCCTTCCTTGCGGAAAATACGCCCCTGCCGGCGGGCTGCATGTGGCCCGCAGTTTGAGGACCCCTGGTATAGATAATGGAATTTACTTTGACTGCCCATCACATTTCTTGGAGGTGCTAAAATGCCAGGACAGTACAAACACCCCCAAAAGACCAGTTTTCGGAAAGTAGACACCCTACGCTATCTGCCGAAAGGCATATTGAGTCCATGGAAGATAATTTTTTTTCCACAAGTTTTTGGAAAATGACAAACTTTTTTTTTTTTTTTTTAACACAAAGTTGTCACTTAAATTATATATATATTGCTCACACAAGCCAGGGGTATATGTGGAAATACACCCCAAAATACATTGTCACTTTTACAGCGTATGGGGATACCACATGTGAGACTTTTTGGGAGCCTAGCCACATACAGGAGCCTGAAATCCAATGACCACTTTGAAAGTCTGAAGGTACGCAACTTCCTCACTACCTGAAGGTGGGCAACTTCCTCACTACTTATCACAGACGCAGATCTCATTTTTTCTCACAAGGTTTTGATATATAGTTTGTTTTCTTTATTCATTTTCCAAAAACTTGTGGCAACAAAACGAGATGTGCAAAATACTCACCATGCTTATCACATTCCTTTGGGTGTCTACTTTCCAAGAAGGGGTCATTTAGGCGGGGGTGGGGGGCTGATGCTATCCTGGCATTTCAGGGCCTCCAAAACTGTGATAGGTAGTGCAATGAGGAAATAAAGCCATTTAAAAGCCTGAAGGTGCTTATTGGATTTTGGGGCCCTGTACTTGGCTAGACTGCAAAAAAGTATCTCACATATGGTATTCACATACTCGGGGAGAAGCAGCATGTATTCTGTGGAGTAATGCCACATGGCATGTGTGAGCAATAAATCACTTAATGACAATTGTGTAAAAAAATTTTTTTTTATCATTTTCCAAAAACTTGTGGTAAAAAAAAATAAATACTTCTATTAATTCAACATGCCGCTCAGCAAATAGTTTGGGGCGTCTACTTTCCAAAAAGAGGTCATTTTAGGGGGTGAGGGCATTTTATGCCCAGCATTAGAAGTTTATGCCACACATAATTCACTCTAACCACCTGAAGACCAAACCTTTTCTAAAAAAAAACAAAAACAAAAACAAAAACAAAAAAAAAAAAAACAAAAAAAACTTTGTCCACATGAAAAAGATCAGTATTTTTTGCAAGGAAATTACTTTGAACCCCCAAACATTATATATATTTTTTAAAGCAGCCACCCTAGTGAATAAAATGGTAGGTGCTGCAATTTTTTATGTCACATAGTACTCGCGCAGTGATGTTTTTGCAAATTTTGACACTTGTTTTTACTTTTAATGCACAAAACACAATATATTGGCCAATGATTTGATACAATATAAAAGAGGATGGTACGCCGAGTAAATAGATACCAAATATGACATGCTTTAAAACTGTGCATGCCCCGTGCAATGGCGACAAACTGCAAACATTTTTAATATCCATAGGCAAACGCTTTAAAAGCCTTTACAAGCTACCATGTTAGATTTACAGAGGAGGTCTAGTGTTAGAATTACTGCCCTTGATCTGATGTTCATGGCGATACCTCATATTCATGGTGCAACTGCGGTTTACATACTGGCTCGGGGTCAAATAGCGCACACAGGTGCAAGAAGGGGCGAGGGTGCTTTTTTTTTTTTTTTAAATCACTTTTAATGCCATAACAGGGAATGCAAATATCCCCTATAACTTCAATGGAAATTGTCATTCTTTTTTGAGAAATCAGGGGTCTATCAGACTCTAGATTTCTCCTTTGCCCTTACATTATCTAATCTCACCAAGATCGGTGTGATCCGATGCTTTCCCAATTTACAAATGGCGCTGTTTATATCCTGCGAAACTGAAGTGATGAAATGCTCGTAGCTTCCGATTTCTTAGACTATAGAGATGATTGGCACCATTCGGGTCTCCAATCAGCTCTATGGTCAGCTGGCAGAAACTCCAGCTGCATTCTCAGGTTCCCCCGATGACACAGGACTGCCCCAGAAGGCTGTGGAAGGCAGCGGGGGAGTGGGGCATCTTCTCGCGCTGCTTGTAAAAGCAATCCTGCAGCTAATTAGCCTAGGATTGCATTTACATGAACAATTTTCTTTTTTAATTATGCAGCCTGTGGGCTGAATGAAAAAGAGAAGAATTCTCTGCCAGAAAAGTGCGTGATATGCCCACCATTAGAATATATAGCCCTGCATCCACCCACTGCTAATGGTGGGCACACAAAATGTGCCAAAAAATATTATAACATATACATGCCAAAGTATAGGGGCCATCCACCCACCAGGCCCCCATGCTTCGGCATATATGCTCTTTAACTGCGGATGAAAAATCTCATCCAAACAGCGCTGCCCAAACTAACATATATATTCTGAGAGCAAGTTCCTGTTACTGTCAGAATAAACAGGTCAGTGCTGCAGCCGAATGGCATTCCTACAAAGAAAACAGCAAAACAGCAGTAGAACAGTAACAACGACAAAAAATAAAACATTTTTGGATTTTTACATTTTTTTTTATTTCTTTGGGGGGGGAATTTGTATTTTTTTTTTAAACTTTTTAAAAACAGATTGTAGGGTCTCTCCAAATGTGATAGCTAGTATCCTGACTACTTAAAATCTTTCAAGACCCTGTGTAAATATTTGCTCTGAATTGTGCCGTGCTGTACCCTATACTAATTCTCCACTAGTGTGTGGTAGCGATGGAAGCAGTCATTGAGGCAAAGGCCAGGTTGGCCAGGACCGGAGGGACAAAAAAAAAGCGAGTGTCATGCCTAATTCCATGTCTGCTATAGACACGTTTTTTTGGGGTGTCCTTGGGCTGGGGTACCAGGAATGGCATCAGGAAAATGTCTCTCATGCAGCCGGCTAACTGCATCTGTGTTGGAGGTTTGGGCCACAGCACCTTCTGAATACAAAAAGGGCCGTGATGATCTCTTCCTGGAAATTTAGGAAAAATCTACTTCGTCCAGTTGCTTTGTAAAGCACAAAAAAGCATTATACAGAGCCAACTGAAATAAACAGACTTTGTACCAGCATTTGGCTTTTCGGGAAACAAAGTACAGCTTCACCATCTGGTCGTTGAAGTCCACCCTTCCCATGTGGAGGTTATAATCGTGGACACAGAGGGGCTTCTCAACACCAGCCGCCGTGGCAATTTGGATGGTCATGTCTGCGTGAATGGAAGACAGGACGAAAACATCCAGGTTTGTCCTTCCACTTCACTGCAAGCAATTCCTCATTTCTCAAGCAGTCTTTCCCCCCCTAAGACGAGTATTTGCAAGCCGTTGGGGGAAGCCTTGCGCTTAGGTCGCACGGTGCGGTGCCACATGCATCAATTCCAAGATTATACAAATGTCTAATTAGTGGCACACTTGAATAAAAAAAAAAAAAAAAAAAAAAAAAATTGTCCACGTATAAGTGGTACCCCATATGGAAAAAGGGGGACACCAAGTCCCAAACTATCTTGCCACTGTTCCCCATGTAGCCTGGGCATCAAGGGGGCTCCACATAAATCAGGAACATTATTTCAGCTATATGGCGGTCGGAAAGCAGTTAATGGTTCCTAAGCCTGGGTTCACACTGATGCGGTGCAGAATTTGCAGCGTTTTCTGTGCAAATTCCACACCGCATCAGAATCTTAACCCGTTCATACGAACTGATGCAGGTGTGTAAGTTAAAGTTAACAACACCCCAAAATCTGTCTGCAAAAACAAGGCGCAATGTGCAGAATCCGATTCTAGTGCGGACCCACAAAAAAGGGTCCTGCACCTTTTTGGTGCAGGTGCAGTGCATTATGTATGGCTCCAATCACACCGCACACAAATCACGTGATCTGCACAGGAAT